TTATCACTTCGACCAAAAATCAATAGTGCACATACCACAATAAATCCTTTCAGATTCCGTTGTAATGTCCCCTCAAATGACCATTCAAGTGCTGTGGTTTCGGTTCATGTTTCTAGTTTTTCAATTATTTCTTAACGTTTGGTTAAGAGTCTCGAACTATCAGGTATTCGACCCAAGCGGTTTTGTTGGTACGAGCGTCTGTACTATGATTGGTTGATACCCACTGGATCTTGCCGCCGTGGAAACTACCCTGCAGTTCACAACCCCGCAGAGCCTTTGCACTTGGGCAAGAATACCGGTACTTTTTCCAATTTTTTTGTACTCGGCATCCTTGATTTGGCTAAGATCAACATTATCGCAACTGTTGTTACCCGAAATCTCTAGTTAGTTCTCGCCATCCACAAAAGCTAAGCCTTACCTCTCTGTCTACATAACGCTTCTTCTCGTACAGAAGATAGCCTTGAACACAACATCTTTGTTCAACATGGCGGCTAGTGAAAGTTATCGTGCTCAGCTAGCAATTCAACAACGAGTTCCTCTTCTTTCGGGGATCTACAGTCCTCCTCCGACTCATGAACACGGGCCTGACACTGCAAAACGCTACAGGGCTTTAGAAATTGAGACAGAATTTATCATAAGCCAAGCCAAGACACCTCATATCCCTTCAGACTCAGATAATCCACCTCAGCCGCCACCTCAGCCGCCACAGCATCATCGAGGAAACAGTACAAGTCGCCTTGGCATCTTCAATAAAGTTTTCTCTACAAGTCCTCCTGCTTCTCCAAGATTTGAAACTACTTCTATCACTGTCCTCTTATTACCTCAAGCAGGCACACGACCCATCCTTCTCAAGCTTCGTACAATAGATATTCGTGGTGAAGGACACAAAGATAACCATCTCTCGCATATCCCTGATATGCGTTCATTTTGGGGCGATGGAGATGCCTGGCACGCTCGTATACAGAAATATTCTTGCCTGAATAGGATCAAAGATTCAACAGATCATGCTTTGACTGGCACATACATGTTACTCTATACGCCTGAAGGAAACGGATTACCTTTAAACCAAAGATGGAGCGCAGGTGTTAGTGGAGATGCCTGTATTGCAAAGATGTGTAAGAATATATGGGGGAGAGGAGGAGTGGCTGCGTATGAGGATATTGATAGGGAGTTCCTGGATAGTAGACTATACAGGAAGATGCTGATGGGATTGTTTGATAGTCCTTTGAAGGACTCGAAAGAGGGTGCTACAGGAGAGGATGAGGATGTCGCTGATAAGGAGACTTTGTAAGGTGCTGGCGCTTCTAGGTTCTCCTTTGTCGTTTTATTATGGTTCACTTAAGAATTTAATCGCTGGATATCTCCACAGCACTACTGGGGTAATTTTGGAGTTCACGGAGTTCAATCCATTTGCAGGATATGCTGGCGTTTTCGAGTTTCGATAGTGAAACACGTATACAAAATCGAGAAATGAGAGAGTCGTTTTAGATCTGATATAGTGGCAATGCGAATGTATGAACGTGATGTTGGTGTTTATCTGAACGACCGGCTGCAGTACGTACTTCGACTACACAAAGCTTAGACTTGGCGTGTCCACATGCTAATCGACCCTGAAGCTAGCTTGCGGATGAGCTCCCGACATGCCTCTCCTTCACATGCCGGAAGCACAGATAGTAGCACCTGCTGATCATTCAAGTGCTTCAGATTAATATCAATACTAGCTAGCTATGGGCAAATCATGTTTTTCTCGTTGAAATTTCCAACAGGAAACAAATATCAGTCCCGTGCATTCCATATCATGTCACAACTCAATTATACGTGTTCTTCTTAACCAACTCCACAATCCTATCCGCCAACAATTGGACATCTCCGGCCACCTGCCACTGATGTAATTATACTTCTTATCCTCCACCACAAACCTACCATCTCATTAGTCTCTCTATCCCATAATGTAGAAGGAAAAACAAAACAGAGTTCATAAAAACCAAACTCACGGCTGAAACCCAACATAATGTTTCCACTGCTTTCCCGGATCATCCAACCTCTTCCTAACACTCGTCTCCACATTCTCACTGCCCGCTCCATAAGTTTTGTAATAATCTCCCAACACCCATCTCGTACCCCAATAAGCCGCTCCCTCAAACATTCCCGGAAGAGCCGTCGTATCACACTCATGAATGATCGATCTATTTCCCCCCGTCAAAGTTTCACTCAAAACCATAACACCGTGACAAACCGCGCCTACGTGTTTCTTTCCCGGCTTCTCAACACCTTTCCAGTAAGAAATCAACTGCCGATGCATAATCTCCGAATCAATCAGTTGACGCACGCCTTTCTCGTGACCGCCGGGCAAAAACACTACATCATAGGAGTCGAGAGAAAAGGAATCGGAAGACCAGGATAGAGGGTTTGTGAATTCCTTCGTCTGGGACATGTGCTTGTAGGCGTTGACGGCGTCTTGAGTGGCGCCCAGTAGCTTCTGAGTGATTCCCTCGAGCATTTTACGATCGCAGGCTGGGAGGGCACCGTTTTCGGTGGCGAAGTGTACGGTAAATCCGGCGTTGGTGAATGTGGTGTGTGGAATTGCGGTTTCTGAGGGGATTCAGCATATGTGTTATCAATAGTGTAGTTTGGCAAGAGATCGAGATTATGGCTTAAGATGTTTGGAGTTTCGTAGAAGAGGGTTATATTACCTGTTGGATCATGGCCGTAATCCGACATGGGAATCAACACTTTTATACTAGACATCTTTGCTGAATGCTATACCGTGAAATCTATTTGTGGGAGATAAAAGTAATGTTATGATGATACAGTTTCTTCTGAATCGAAACGACTTTCTTGTGTATAAATGTTGTCGAGACTCTACTTCTCAAGACCTGATCACAGTAAGCCAAAAAGTTGGTTAGAACTCCTTTTCTAGCTGTGCCACATTTATTTAGAACTGACTTTTGGTTCAGAGATTCAACTTCGAGACCGAGGTTTAATTAGAACTTAGTGGTTCTGTTCAATTCAAATCAATAAGAGGAAAAGTAAAAATGTCTACCTACACACATGTCAACATATAACATACATCACTGGTATAACGCGAGGGCTTTTGGTGAATGAAGGGGTTGATGACGAATGAACCGAGGGGTTGCAGGGTTGGTTGAGTGGGTACACCAGTGGGTGCACGGACTCACGGGACACTCTGTATAACTTCAAAAAACGGAAAATAAATATATATTACAACTAAAAAGCTAATAACTATTACAATTTCGATTATATACATCCCCTATTAATATCAATAATAATTCCATATCTGCTAGACAATTCTATATATCTTTTTTGAATTTCTTTTTGTATAATTTTATTCTATTTGTTCTATATAATCTCCTTTAATTCGTTTAACATTTTTTATTACCTTTTTCGAATTTATTGTTTTAATATATTCCAAATACCTTCTATTAGATTCAGATTAAATAAATTAAAGAAATAAAATAGATTTTCGATTTTATATATATTTCTAAGCTTTTATACAAACTTATATTTAAGGAATCTATATAAATTATTACTATTTTCTATTAAAAGCCATTTATATATAAAATCTTTAGGATTTTTTGCTTATAGCATTTCAATTGCTTTTATATAAACTAAAAAAAATCTTTTAATATAATATTCCTATATTATAGTATTCCCCTGAAACTTGACATCCTTAAAATATAGTTGTTTCCTCTTTTATTCCTTAAATCGTTTTTTATATTTTGTAGGGCTTTTAGTTTTGGAATATCTTTTAGATCTAATAGTATGTTCAGATTTATTTATATACTCCTTTTTGTCTTTATAGAATTCAAGCTTTTTAGTTTTTTTGTTAAAGATAATTTATATTTTATAATAGATTTTATTGTTAGTTAATAAAAAGTATTTCAATATATTCTTTAATTCATATTGTATTTCAATTTCTTATAGGATTTCTTTTTTTTTTTATAAAAATAGGATCTATATATATTTCATTTATATATATAATATATTTCCAAAATCCTTCAATAATATCATATTTATATATACTATCGAAAATAATACATTTCTTATAGTTTTGATTATTAAATTGTTTTTCTGAATAAACAGCTTTATAATATTAATCTTGATTTATAAATCTTTTCAAATTCTTTTATAAAAAATAATGTTTAATTTTTAATTAAAAATAATCAATTATTATTTTATAAAATTCGATTTATAGTTTGTTTTGAGAGGATAAAACAAGTATTTTGTAAATATCCTTATTAATTAATATAAGTCTTTTTAGCTTATTTAAAAGCTTACGAGTTTGTCTATAGACTTTTTTTCTAATAAATCTTTTTCTTGAAGTTATCAATGATCTGTAGATTTTGATATATCTAATTAAATTAAAATAGAACGTATATTTTCTTTTGTACAATATCAATTGAATTTATCAAAAAACTGGATTTTTTTTAATGAATTATATTTTTTATATAATTCTTTATTAATAGGAATAACCTTACGCTTAATTGATTTTATATTAAATAGTATTTCGAAATTGAATTAATTGTTTATATTTTAAATGGTTTATTTTGAGGATATTTTCAAAAAACGTATGTCCCGTGAGTCCGTGCACTCACTGGTGGTATCCGTAAATCAAATGCTTACTCCAACTATTGCCCCAAGTCGAGACCAAGGATTACTCCCTTAATCGATAATTTACTTCCGGGTCTTGAATTCAATTTACAAGTCTTGTTTTTATTTCGAGGATGTGGCTGTTGGATTTGTGTCTTGTGAAGTCTCATCTGGCTCTTCCTCATATGCCGCTCAAAAGAATACTTGTGTCGAGAGTGACGAGGGAAAGAAGCTTAATTCAATGCAAACCAGGTTCTGTAGAGATTGAAGGTAAAGAATCTATTGGGTATTTGTAAGGAGAAGGATGTCTTCAATGATTCAAATCATCGTATTCAAAATATACAGTCTTGATGAACTTCCAGAGCTCTTATGACTACAAGTACACACCATCACCATACAATCCATTCTTCCTGGGGCCCTTCATCTCCATTGTTCCGACTAGGACCTTGTCTAAATTTGATCAATGCCTTTCGTCGTCCAAGGGACGTTATTTCCGTTACTACAATCCGAGATGACTCCACCACTTCCTCGGCTCTCGAGATATTCTCTAGATCCTTCTCTTCCTTATCTATAGTCCACCTACCAATACTACTCGCCAAGTCACTATCCCAACCACCTTCTCGTTTGAAAGAGCTGACGAGAAGAGCGTGTGCTCTCCTGCGCAGTGAAGGATCACGACATTTGCATGCCACACATAGCAGCGGTGGTATTATTGCAGTGTCGAAAGAGAAAACCCGTCCGTTTTCTAGCCTTGAATCGCCGTAAGATTTGAGAAGAGATTCGGCTAGTGAAGTCATTAGTTCAAACTCATCCATGTAACAATCGTAGTTCAATTCAGTCTCGAACTGTGCTGTTTCGAGAATTAATTTGTTGGCGACATAATGAATTTTGAGCGAAATCGATGCTCGTAGATCAGTCGTATTCATTGTTTGACCTGCTGCATGTGCAAAGTTGTTGAAGACTCTGGACCACTGCTCAAGCTGCATAATACGATCTCTCCTTTCTTCGACCATAGCATTCAAGCCACTTGAGCGTAGAGTTTTGTCATTATTTGAAATCTCTGGGCTATAATGCTGTGTTGCATTCTGATGGTATACTAAAATCGCATGGGTCTGGTTTTGGAGATGATGTTTTGCTTCATTCAGTGATGAGATGGGATCTGGTATGCTGCTCTGAGCTGTAAAATCAAATTTCGTGGACCCACTCGTCATTTCCCATTGAACAAAGTTAGCTGGTAGTATTCTAATCGCCTGGGTATTTAAAGCTCCGAATAAAGGTACTATTTCTGAGCGGATAAATTCTCGATTCACGCTCGCCTCTGAATGTGCGAGGGAATTTTGTCCATTTATCTCCATCCAATCGCTCAGAATCTTTAAGCCACTGTTTAGATGAGCAAATGCAGCTTGGTAATTTCCTTGCATTGCTTCGAAGCAAATGAACAAAAGACAAGATATCAGAATTACTTCTGAGGATTGTCGGTGACTTCCATGGGAGGGATGACCCGTCAAGTAACGTATAGCTTTAATATTTTGGAGCAGAGCAAATCGTTGCTTCGGATCAGCAATCGCTCCCGCTTCCAGTAATTTATATCGCCAAACTTGAAGGACTCGTTGAGGGCTCCCAAAGCAATGACTGCATGACGAATAGGCGGATCCGAGTGACACCTCTGCAAAATGAGACTGGCCCAGAATTTAGATTCAAAACTACCCGCCAATTCTGGCGCTGTCTTAGCGATGAAAAAATTGAAGCTTCTTCGCTCTTCTTCATCCCATTCAATGACCGGAGAAGACATTTCGACTATGCTTGGGGTAGAGCTCATGATGGGGCTATCAGTTTGGGCTGTATTTGATGAAGAAGCCTCACTGCCCCTTCGTGAAGGTGGGGAACTCGAAATCTCTGGATGATCAGGATCATAGCCATCGCATTTACGTCCAGTCTTCGTGCATCGAAGGCACCCCGGTCTCTCTTCTCCGCATTTAACACGGCGAATTCTAAATCCCCATTAGCGACCCAACTTTGAATCTTCTCTTGTGTGCTGATCACATAGAAAAGATAAATTGAAGTAGAATAACCAACCGACAAGTAAGACAGCCAGTTTTAGATTTTGGTCTCCAAGCTTTCTTTCTCGCAATTGTAGCCATTGTCTATACAGTCTATTTCCTTTCGGTAGGTATATAAAGTTGCACGCTTCGCACTGATTGTGGATCTGCTGCTCGTTCCATCCAAGACATCATGCCGGGTACCCATAGCATTTCTTATATCTCGGGGGAGCCGTTGACCCTTGAGCCAACTCCCAGATTCAGCAACTGTGCCGTAACAACGTGACTCTGACGAGGGACTCGTATCTAGCGATGAATGGCCACTTCCTTTGATTACAAAAATGGCAACTATAGAATTCAGCCTCGCTCCTTGAATGTAGAATGCGCTTATATTAGTGACTAACGCAAAAACCGAATTGCGTTGTGTTCATTGGCCTCTACACGATGTGTGACCACATTTTAACTCAGCCTCGCGATACTGCACGACGGAAATAAGGCTGCTTTGGTCGCGCGTCCCTGCAGCGGCTGCAACCCTACCGCAACATCGCGATTCTGAGCATCATTTGCATCCACATGAGCGCAGAAATCATCCTTACGTACGTAAATGTTTGGTCTGGATTACAGTATCCCTTACGTCCGTAAAGTAGAACTCTCTATGTAACTCTTCCAGATTGTTGATCGATGAATGAAAACGACTAAAATGAAGTTTCTGAATAGGCCAGCGGTGTAGGGGCTTTGGATTGAACCCTTGACATGGCATTGCAATGGCTATGCCGTGTTATATCGATAGCCAGAAGACAGTATCTAGATTTCGCATCCCTCAAACATCTGCCGGTTGTAAAATGGATAAGGACGTAAATTAGTCCGTGGTCCGAATCCGATGTTTCAGCTCGAGAACGGTGTTGTCAGCAGTGACGAATTATCAATTGCGAAGTCATCAAAATTACCGATTGAGAACTTCAAAACATTGTCGCGCATAGGGACGCCGTATAGGTACTTCTTCAAGCTTTGCTGACTCTTCAGCCTTGGGATACCGATTAATGATTCGATGGTTCGGCCATCCCTCAAACTGTGAATGAGGTATCTACCGGTACCTAGGTAGGTAGCTATTGGTAAGCTGCGCTTGAAGAAAACATCCAAAGAAATGTGAAGATTTAAAGCCTTGTCATATAACCTTAGAGTTGCATTCGCTTTTCGGGACCTATAGAATGACAAGCGGAAGGTGCAGAAGGAGGATTGCGCTACCCCGCGAAAAACCAATACAGGGGGATAGGAGTGGTGTGCCATACATTACTTTAGGGCGTCAGACAGAGGATGACGGAAAAGGCTGAGGGTCTTATTTGGGTGACATAGTAGGTCTAAATGTCGCCTAAAAAGCTCTTGCACCGCGAGAGACAGATCAGACGGCATATCGATTATAACTGGCCAGGCTTACGATGCAGTCCACGTAGGATGAAGGATGAGGAAGGCTGGTGTGGCAGTGGCGGTGGCGACTTGTGTAAATTATGAACATGGTGAAGACATTCACACTATCGTTTTATAAGATGAGATGAATCCGTCACGAAGTGATGAGGGTTTGATGGTTTGCAATATGCATATCAACCAAATTCGTTCCGACTTATTAGTCAGGAACACATCTAATTCACAAGGTTGAAGGATTACCAGTTGTGGAGGCAATATTGAAGTTGCTTTTAGCTGTAGTTACTGAGGAAGGAAATAAGAATGAATCAAGGGAAACAATGTGGCGCTGATAATGTGATATGTTGTGCAAGATTGGAATGTACGCGAGATGCGATTCTCAAACTCCCGGTGAGCCTGTGGTAAAATAAAATCAACCAAAGAAAAGAGTTTGTAAGGCAGCTAGCTCACCGGTAGATAGGTAGGCGTTACCTAGTCTAGTGGGGGTGGCTGAAATGCCAGTAGCACAACTTAGTGTGGCAGAACTTATCTCACGTGCAGCAGATTACGGCCATCGACAAGTGACATGATAGCAAAATCGCGACGCGAAAAAAGTTGAACTACGATTAATCAGGTAGCGGCAGCAAAGCTTTGAGAGTTCTCTTCATACCCTAGCAACGCTCTCTTACATACCCAGCATTGCGACTATTCGGTGATTCGGGCGTCTTCTTAATTTGTATCATAAACAGAGTCTCTTGCAAAAATGTCGTTCGGTGGCCAGACTCCAACCATTATTGTGCTGAAAGAGGGTTAGTAACCCAGATATTGGTTTGACCACATAGTGTACTGACAGAAGTGTATAATATAGGCACAGATTCTTCTCAGGGAAAAGGGCAAATCATTAGCAATATTAATGCTTGTTTAGCTGTTCAAAACACCATTAGAAGTACTTTGGGACCATATGGTGGGGATTTATTACTTGTGGATGAGAATGGACGACAAACTATCACTAATGATGGTGCTACTGTTATGAAGGCAAGCTTCTCGGCACAAAGCTCTGTGAGTTCGGTATAGCTAGAACTCATAAACTGACTTCTGGGCGCAGTTACTCGACGTTGTTCACCCCGCAGCACGAATTCTTACCGATATCTCTCGATCACAAGATGCCGAAGTAGGAGATGGAACAACATCCGTCGTTGTTTTGGCAGGTGAAATTTTGAAGGAAATAAAAGACCATGTCGAACAAGGAGTCAGCTCGCAGACAATTATTAAGGGTTTACGAAGAGCTTCTACGATGGCCGTCAACAAAATAAAGGAGATCGCTGTTAATACAAGTGAGGGTAACCAGAGGGAAACTCTCATTAAATTGGCCGGTACTGCTATGAGCAGTAAGCTGATTAAGAGAAATACCGGATTCTTCACAAAGAGTATGGCTCCAAGGGTTTTAGTAAGACATAGCTAACAACATATAGTGGTCGTTGATGCGGTTATGACATTAGATCAGGACGATTTGAACGAGAAACTCATTGGCATGAAGAAGATTCCGGGTGGATCCCTTACAGACTCACTGTTCGTCAACGGTGTTGCATTCAAAAAGACCTTTTCATACGCTGGATTTGAACAACAACCAAAATCTTTCAAAAACCCCAAGATTGTGTGCTTGAACGTTGAACTTGAGCTTAAGTCTGAGAAAGACAATGCGGAAGTTCGTGTCGAGCAAGTTTCGGAATACCAGGCTATTGTCGACGCTGAATGGCAAATTATTTACAACAAGATGGAAGCTTTATACAAGACTGGCGCAAAGATTGTCCTTTCCAAGCTACCAATCGGTGATCTTGCTACCCAATATTTCGCGGATAGAGATATTTTCTGTGCCGGCCGTGTAGGATCTGATGACCTTGAACGCATTATTCAAGCTACAGGAGGATCCATTCAATCTACTTGTTCCGATATTCAGCCAGAGCACCTCGGAACCTGCGGTTCGTTCGAAGAGCGTCAAATTGGTGGAGAACGTTTCAACTTCTTCGAAGATTGCCCAGCTGCTAAAACCTGCACATTAGTCCTCCGTGGAGGTGCTGAGCAATTCATTGCCGAAGTCGAGCGTTCCCTCCACGATGCTATCATGATCGTCAAGCGCGCCATCAAGAACACCACAATTGTTGCTGGAGGTGGAGCTTGTGAAATGGAAGTATCAGCCTATCTCCATCACTACGCCGATAACAATATCCGCAACAAGCAACAGGCAATCATCAAATCCTTCGCTAAAGCCCTCGAGGTCATTCCTCGTCAACTTTGCGACAACGCCGGTTTCGATGCTACAGATATTCTTAACAAGCTCCGCGTGGAACACAGAAAAGGAAACGTATGGGCTGGTGTCGATTTCATTGGTGAAGGTATTAGAGATAATATGGAGGCTTTCGTCTGGGAACCAGCCTTGGTCAAGGTCAATGCCATTCAAGCAGCAACTGAAGCTAGTTGTTTGATTTTGAGCGTGGACGAGACCATTAAGAATGAAGAGAGTCAACAACCACAAGCTCCACAAAGAGGCCTACCTCCGGGAGCAGCCCAGAGAGCATTGAGAGGTAGAGGAAGAGGCATGCCAAGAAGATAAACGACAAATGGTAGAGAGGGATCATGATTCATGAATGATGCAGGGGAAATTAAGGACAAGCAGAATTCGATGTATAGATGACTATTCTATGATATGATATAAAAGTGCTAGATGTATGACAAGTACATACTTGCACTCTAGAATTCAAAAGTTCACCCCCTCACTTATGTCTGAGTTTATGAATTTAGTGATGAAACTTACTCCAGTGTTTCTGTGATTGGTCAGTGGTATACAGTTTTTCTGTGATCTATGATATTATTGTGTCTGCTATAATCTATGTCTACTCGAATATGCATCTCTTGCGTAAACACATTTTACGCTGATTCATGTTAGGATTGGATGCACAGGATGTTTTCCTGAACATCAAGACATGGCCTGCAAAGTATGTCGTAGATTATCGCTGATGTACCCCCAACCTAACAATCCAACAGCCCAACTGGATACCGCTAGTACTAATTATGGTCCTTGGCATACCACTCTCTGCATTTGTCACCAGCCGGTGGCAGGCCGTATGTATCTCGAAACCCGGTTTCGCCTCCATCTATATAATGACTACTCATCATTCTCGTATTAAATACTAAGTCCAAAGTCGTCGATGGCCCTCTATCTGACGCGCTCATCCCTCATTCCCATCCATTACCCCCCTGGAAATCATTTCCTGCGCCAATCTCGCCGTAGCCATAACATCATCATGAGATTTATGTCTTCCGGTTCCCATTGAATCATTCATCGTCTCGTCGGTATTTATATCATCCCCGGTATTATTATCCACTGTTCCTATATCTCCGATGTGTTCTACTTCTACTTCATCTTGATCCACAAGCATGTCATTAATATCTCCATCCACGCCTGTGCCCCCATCCCCAACACCCCCATCTACATCTACATCCCTGTTTTCCAACATCGCCTGAAAAGAATCCGTATCATGTTCATGATGCGCGTCAAAATGCGGATGCGGAGAATGTGATGTATGTGTGTAATCCATGATTTGCGGATCTATTTGCAGGTAATCTGTTGCAGAATGTCTATGCGGTGGGGCATGAGATTGGGAGTGAGCTTGAGCTTGAGCCTGAGCTCGAGCCTGAGATTGTGTACGAGTCTCTGCGTGATGAAGTTGCATTTGGGAAATAGGTGGTTGATGTTGCTTGAGGTGAATAATGGGATTACTGTGAGGATGGGGAGAGTGGGATGGTAGTCTGCGGTTAAGGACTTGTGGTGATACGGATGTACTGGTGTGGTCATGGTGGTGTTGCATTTGCTGGAAATCATGCTGCAAATGGGAAGGTTGTGGTTGCCGATCATGGTGCTGCTGCTGATGATGAAGACCTTGATGGTGGTTGAGTTGCTGTTGCTCGGGTAAAGATAGTATGCTTGCATCTGTTACATCTTGACTTTTAGGAGTAGATTGACGGGCTAGCTGAGCTTGGTAATCTGGTTTAACAACTGGTGCCTTGCCCAATTCTTTGCATTCTCCACAGTTCTTAATTACTAGACTAACCGTCTCCTTGATTCTAATCCAGTGATATTTCTCAGCGATGATAGCTGTGGTTTTGTTGATCCCACCATGTTGTAGTACATGTATGCCCCTTGCAATCTCGTATTGTTTTTGCGGGTCACTGATGACTTCCTTCCCTTTCAACATGAGCTTATCCTCGTCCGGTAGTAGTTTGTAATGCGTGGCCGCGCTACGAAGTCTGCTTTTTTCCGCACGATCAGCACCCAAGGGATATTCTTTATGTTTCAAGTAGAATTTGATTTTATCGAAGCGTTCTTCACTCACGAAGTCGGAGCCATCAGGCCCTAAATCCCGCCCATATATAATAGCATCGATGAATTGCCCTGGATAGCTCTTGAGATTTCCTGCACCCTTGACACGCCCAATACGCTTGAACCCTAATGCATCCCAAATGCGACAAGAAGCTACGTTTGTCTCATATACGAGATTGAAAACCGAGTATGTGTAGCCGAGAAGTGGAGCCCAGTGGAGGTAGCTTTCGCCAAGTAGACGCCCGACACCTCTGCCTCGTGCAGCGTCCGTAACAAGAAATCCGGCGTTGCAGATGTGGGAGCTACGTCCTGGATAGTTGGGCTTGATATAATAACTACCTAGACATTCTGTTGCCCAATTCTTGCCTTCGACTACTTCATCCGCGGACTCAATGTTACCAAGAAGCATTACTGCACCGAAGTTTTGAAACCAATAAGATGCAAACTTCTCTGGTGGCATAGTATCAAGCATAGGATATGTGTCACCCAATTCGACTTCCTTTTTGAATTGGTCACTGAGATATGCGAGAAGCGAGGGAGGAACCCTGTTTTGTGACGCGAAAGGCACTATTGTAGCGACTGTCACTCGGTCACGTAGAGTGACCTGTCGAGGAAAAACATCGAGGGGTAGTGCGGGGTTTGTATCGTGAGGATCTGGAAAAGGTGCGGACCCTGAAGTTCGGTAGATTGTGGGAGCGCTGGGATCATCGAGCATGGCAGGCATTTTGAAAGCTAGTCGGTGACGCGAGGATTAAAGGGGTCCAGGGGTAAACACTGATGACATCGTTAGAACAACTACAGCTTCTTATTTCGTCCATCTCAAGACGACGAACCCAAAAATAAGAATACCACACCCGCACGATCACCACTGTGCAATTCTCAGACTTATTCAAAGAGAAATATCAAAAAGAATTCAAAAGGTTTGAAATCGAAGGTTTTTGTATTGAACTATTCGTATATTGAGAGTGACGAGATGTGCAACTGTTGTTCTGAGAACGACAACTGAAGTTGTCAAGAAAAGGGCGTCGGAGAGGTGGGGGATTATGTAAGCCACGTCATGAATTTGGTAGATCGCTTGATTTGTGAGAGATTCATCAATACAACTGCCAATTCAGACCAAATTCATTTGAAGAGTGAATCTTCAGGTTTTGATCTTCGAGTTGCTTTACTCTTCAAACTATCCTAATATCAGCTGCCGAAGGTACGCATTGTATAGCTCAACAATTTCATGCCGTACAGACTCGCACCGCAAAAGAAATGATTGAGCTAGCATCAGTGTCATGAGAGCGTAATTAGCTTCACAGCTATGATTGGAATGCGTTATAAACCTGTATATCGCCTTCCAACGGTTGTATTATCCTAATTATCACAGCTAAAAGAGGAACCCAGGTAGCTACCTAGAATGTAAAATATTGCACCCCCTTCCTCTTGTTAAACCACCATTGTTCCATGATACCTCGCTCTGCCTCATCGAAACTCTTTTCAGAATGGATAGCCTTTCGCCCAAATACTTCAAGTTTATATGTCTCTCTTCCGCTCGAATACGGCCGGATCAGACTGCTTTCTCATCCAGCCTGTGCGAAGTACTGACTTTCTTGAACCAGTCCTCATAAGTTTGCGAAATAGAAGCACTAGATTTCGAACATTACCCTGTATAAACTTCGCTATAGATGCAGTGCTTTTTGAATTAGATCTCACATACATATGGTTCGAATGGAGCAGGTCTTTGACAGACTCATTGCATTGCCATTCCTGAAAAGAAACATGATGGAATATTGCCAATATCTTATCATCGCCCATCAACTGAAGGCCATCTACCATATTTGAAGTCAATTGTATTTTAATCTTAGCGATAGGCTTGAAGTTTTGAGCATTGCATACTTTCTCCAAGTTCGTTTCCATTTGTTTCGGCGATGGCTGAAACGATCGAATTGAAAAATCCGACAGAACCGAGGGCCTAGACTAGTTTTTGTCAACTCATGATCCAATTTGCCAAGATATATCATTCTAAAGAGCAATACTGCAAGGTTAGTGTTCTAATGAGTAGTTTCTTACGTCAAGAACTAGTCTTCAAGCCGGCAATTTGGCTGTCAAGGCCTACATGATACCTTTCTATGGTATACTGTTGTTGAAGCGTTAACGAGTTTTTAAAACATCACATTATTTTCTCGTTGAAATTTGCTTCACTTCATCATGCAGAGGCACAAGTCCCAGAACTTTTATCTAAATTCAGTGCAACAGGTATTGGTATTAGCGGTATTTATCAAGGCGGAATCGTCTACAGGAAATTCCTTGGAGCGTTGCCGAAATTGAGAGTTTACTTGGCTGTGATATTTTTTTTGCAGTGTATCTCTCAAAAAACTCCTTACAACAACTATAATCGAAAATTTTCGTTGACAGAAAGCTGCTATGGCAAGCCATTCCTATACACAACCTCTTTTAGAAACATTTAAAAACACCATGCATTATACTTCCAAACTCAAAGTTGCGGAACTGCTGAGTCATTGCCATGCCACTCCTGCTTCGCCTACTATCGATTCTCGGTCAAGTAAGAATAGCTTAGTAGGAAGAGAAGTGTGAGAAATTTGGGACTCCTGAGACGTTGCTCATGAATGTAGGACTAGATATATCTGCAACAACTACGCACACGATATAATGGGCTTATAGTGATTGGGCGGATTGATGAACAAAATCAGGGTTCCTCCAACCAAAGAGCTTACAATGGATACCCTTGGTATAAAACAATCTTTCACTTCCCTATTCAAAGGACGCGTATTCTTGCTGCTGTGTAGGTGGTGCTACGAGATAAAGCGCCATGCACGATTCCTTCTTCAAGTAAATAGGTAAAAACTAAGAAAGATGGAGGGGCTCCTTCAACCTTAATGCTTAATTAGCAGAGTCAAGGAAAGCCCGCCCATCCAGACATTGTACGGCTGTTCTCGCTGCCGTGTGCAACTTAAGATACCACTATTATGGTACATGGGTATTATACTAGACCTATGACGAGATGGTTATAGACTGTTGGTATGTCCGTTTGAGGGATGTCTAGATTTGAAAAGACTCGAGAGTGAACGGGAATTAGGTTGATACGATTACGATAGAGGCATAATACAACAAAGGGAGGCGAGATTTTCAAGAAATACCATGATGGACAATTGCTGCTAGGTTGATAAGACAAAGATATGAGACATGACTTCATGAGACTTCTATAGTACCATTTTTCTACCACTGCACAGAAGATCGCAAAACGAAGATGTTTCAATCACTTACACTATTTCCAGCTAGTTGTTTTCAACTGAGATGTTGGCAGGTTTGCATGGGTTGATTGAAGCCTATACCAATATTTAGCACACTCTCTCGCATTCTTCGGGTTCATATATGTGTAATTCTGTGAGAAGGACTTGGGAAACGCGCGTTAGATATTTTAGTAGCTACGCCACTTGTATCATTTTTCAGGCTAGCGAGTTCTTCTAATGCTCACATAGTTCCTCCGTACCATCACCGTATCATCATAGTATCATGTACTTGACTCAACTTCAACGAATGCACGTCATACTATACACGACAGGGTGATTCCGTGAGTAGATTACTATCAAGTAATACACTGACTTTACGGCGGAGTCTGTATGCTTCCCGTCAACTTTAGCGATTTGGAAAGAAGTCGTTTTGGAGTGAATAATCTTCTGAGCGAGATACGGTGTTTCAACTTCACCTCAATATGGCATCAATATCTAATACCGAATGAATTCCCGAGCGAAGAACATGAATACATCATCCGATTAAAATATCTATCTTAGGCAAAAACCTAGAATTTCTTTCATCTTGACCTTTATCAGTATGTCTCTTACTGATATACTACTGACCCAAGTACCGAACTCCACATTTGACAAGGCGAATATACGGTCTTTTTTTTCAACCTCTCTACTACGGTCCCGAGTTTATTGACGGCGACATATTCACTTAATATCATCTGTCGTACTTGCACTAGCGCGCCCAAGAAAACCATACAATATAGATACGGTCGACAACCAGACTGGTTCCAGAGGTTTAAATACTTCAAAGTATCCCATCACTCCACCACTTCTTACTCTTGCAGAAACTTCAACTTCAACTTCCAACTCTTAACTCTTCTCATCCAATTAACAACAACCACATCATCGTTCATTTCCAATCGAAATTTCAGAGTGCTATTCTGCTACGCCAAGATAGAGAATTAACACGCAAGCTCTTCTCACCAAATTCAAAAACACAATCTATCAAGATGTCAACACCATGGACTGTTCTAGATCATCCCAACATGGTAATATTCACGCGACCAAACTTCACAAAGCATACTACGAACAACGGTCCAGTTCCATGCAGAACTTGCAGCACCTCAATTCCATGCCGAGGATTTGTCTGCGAATGCACTGATCACGAATACTACTGTTCTGAATTCTGCAGAGGCCAGCACTTCAGTTTTTGCATATCCAACGTTTCCAGACATATCGCTCGTCCTACACCCCACCACAAACTCGCACTTTACTTTCCACCCAATACCGAGAACCCTCAAGTATTCTGGTGTCCCTGTCCTCTTATTAATCAGAACCCCTGCGTACCTTCTTGCGACACCTGTATTGTGTGCGAGAGCTGCCACGATTGTCATAGCTATGATCTTCCGCTCCCTGCCCCCATTTTGGCCCAAGGCGCAAACACCACAGCCAATTTACAAGACGATCTTGTGAGCTGGCTCATCACTCCCGGAAAAGAAGACCCTGCAGGCTGGACACCGGGTACCGTCATGGGTTTGGAGGAGGGAGATATTCTCGATCAATGCGGAGAGAATAAGTGTATTCAGAAACTCATAGGATGGGAACGAGGTTGGATCGGACCATTTGTACTTATTGGAGATTCGTGGGCGGATTGCAATGGGAAGACGATGAATAGAGATATCAATATGGATGATATGGAAACGGCGAAGAAGTTTTTCCTCTCCACGTCACCTAAAGATCTGGTTGCTGCGGAAGTAGCCGTTGCAGAACGTAAGGAAAGGGGGGTCTTTGAGATGAATGATATTTTAGGCCGTTTATTGAATGGGAAATAAGGTGCCATGGAGTTGAATAGTTGATTTTATGAAGGATAACTTTCGGATTAGGATGTGTTCAATGAATTCGAGCAATTGGGGGATGGGAAGGGGCAACAGGGGTCTCAAATAACGCGATGGTTTTCCACGTTGGACAGTAAATTTGAATGAATATCAATATTCTTCTTTTAACACTAATGAACAATCGTGAAATTCTGACAACTATACGTGAGAGAAATGATGTATCTCCTTTGATAACTAAAAGTGACATGTATCTCATCCATAACCCATGAAAACAAACCCTACGACAGCGTAAAACTGGACAAATCTCAAATATGGTAATATTTCCACAACAATTCCACACTCCGACCTTTCATATCGAAGTCAAGTCGTGACACAGATTTTCCGTTCCCTAAACGTTCCCTCTCCTCCTCTCTTCATTTTGAAGCCTAGGAAACAGTCACAATACCAAACGCAGATAAGTGGCACTGTAAATCTTTCTACAAAGATTCTAGAAAATTAAATATACATGTACACTCTAGAGAGTTTCCTAACCATCCTCATCATTCCATATTTCTTATCTCATCAATCTACAGGAAGTCTGAACTTCGCTATAAGTATTCAAAACCATTGCTCTTGCGGAGTTGTCATGATTGATGTCCTGACCACCTCCCAGGGTTGACGTGTGCTGTTCATGATGTGCATATGATCCTACGAGTAGCTTTCATGTTGTTCCTGATGGCTTTTTCATGGTCAAACTCTTGAGAATACTCTATTTATTATTGTCTCTGCTACTCAGGATAGTTCTCACTGGGGTTATTTCGAGCCATAGATCCAAATAGCCGATGAGAAAAGAGGATGATTTGATCGAATAGAGTTCGATCTGACCTGCCTTGTATACAGGAATAGAAACAGCGCGCACTTACCTAAGTTACCTTATATCTTGAGATCAATATCCAATATCCATTCAACCAAATGGGAATGCAGGTGCAGGTAATCGATGTGGCCAAACCAAATTGATCACCTCAAAATCGCCTATTGGCTATTTACAGAGTCACCCTTGTCATGCATAATTTTTCCAACAGTCACCAACAACACCAACGTGCTTCCCGTATGATAGCTGAAGATATCTAATGGTAATAGTAAGCTTGGGAGTCCATATGCACAAGTGCTTATGTATCCATGTATCTCTATGAGCTGCGCCTCGAAAGTTACGAGGAAGGTCAATTATTGTTTTTCTTCAGACTCTATATTTTTTGGAAATGCCTCATGTCAAAAACCATAATCAGCGGCTCTGAGCTTTTGAATTTGAGATTCGCCTCCTAAAACCCCTTTATCCTAACCAAAATCTATTGTCCTGGGCCCATATCTCGCTCGAACCCACCATGACCCCCACTCTTCGCACAGTCGCAACTTTTGAAGAATTTTGCCTTGTAGTAGATTGCCTTTGGGAATCGTATGCTGATCCTTATAACCCGTTTCTGGGTATCATTGTCCCGATCAAAGAACCCACGGCCGAAGGAGTAGCTACTGCAGTCCAGGGGCTCAAGGAACGATTCTGGGAATCTCATCAAGCAGATAAAGATAGTTTTTGGGTGTATATTGTTGATGAAGATGATCAAGGAGAGGACGCTGGAAGGGTTTTGGTGGCAGCAAATTGGTTATTTCATGAAGTAAGTCCATTCAATGAGAAAAAGATGAAGAGAGTGGCGAAAATGAAGGAAATCATGGCAACAAGAGTGATGGAACGGGTAATGCGGAGAAAAAGGGGGACAATAGCCTTATATCTTTGTGGCCCGAAGGCGAAGCACGCGAATTTGTAAAGGTGGTTCTTTTTCAAGTATTTGGGATGAGAGCGACAAGGATGACAAGACCTCATGCTCGTGAGTAGATTCCTCAGGTCCCCTTTTATTTCCCTTAAAGAGTCTTACCTTCCATGTTCTTCATGCTAATATTTCCAGAACTCTCCATGATGTTTACCCTCCCCGACCACCGTGGTCGTGGTTACGGATCTTCACTCATGGATTACGGAATGTCCAAGATCTCAGATATGGATGTAGAAGCACTTGTAGAGGCATCTGCTGGGGGGATATCTCTGTATGAGAAATATGGTTTCCGAACCATTCATAAGGTGATCGTAGATACCACTTACAAGAACGGAAAACCAGGATTCCTTTGGCGTAAAATGGCGCACGAGTGTAGAGGAAAGACTACGTGGTGGATGTGGAAACCGAAACCGAGTGATGGAGTACTTTATACGCCAGGAATGGAGTTACCATGGGAGAGGAAGTAAGAAAGTTTGGGTCGATAGATATGGGGTGCTTTAATGAAAATATATTTGAAACCTGAAAAATTGCAAGAGGGGATTATCAGGTCGAGGGATCTGAGTATTCTATTGCTTTTCTTCAAGGGCACCCTAGAGACAGGGTGTGAAGTTGTAGAGTAGAATTGGGCAACTTTGCTGCTTGGCATCGATACTGAAGAGAGGTTAAGGTTGTTAAAGTTGAAAGTAACTATACATATTAAACTTGAAATACTTATCAGTATGTGTATCAGTAATTTGACTCTTCCGGTACATCACACATTTCGGTACCTTGTAAGAGGAATAAGAGGGCGTAAATTCAAGGAATCTACCATCTTCTATCAACCTCCTTCCTGGAGGAAAGCTCTTTTTGTAGTCTCCATCTCCTTTGCAAAATAAGAAGTGACATGACAGCTAGTAAGACAGGAGTCAGCAAGAAACATCAAGTACTATAAGAGGGTTTTTTTTCCCCTTGAAAAATCCCAAGAACTAGCTTCCTCCTGTTAGTAAAGCTGGAGTTGTAAGCAAGCGTTATTGAGCACAGTCCACACAGCCACCCTCAAGCCACCCACGTGCTACCCAAACCCAAACAGATCAACTTCGTGCACGAACCACCATGGTTAAACATCGGACTCGGAATAACCATCCCCCTTCTCCGACCATCCAACCAAACTCCCCAAAACCTCAAAGCACATGATCCTGTTGCACCTCGAGAATTTCTTGTTGCATATCTGAAATAGTTGATTTTAGATTTTCCAAGTTATTTTCTAAACTTCGAGGTTAATTTCAGGAGAGATCTCAAAGTTGATTTTTGGGGAGATTTTTGACATCTTGGAATTTTGCTTCAAGGTTGGCTTTGTTTGAAAGAATGGACTTTGCTGATGTTAGTGAACAGGTTTTCTATCATTTAAACAACTTTTTCCTGTAATAAAAGTTGATTTTGTGGTGTTGGAGGTTGTTGATGAGGGAGAAGGGGGAAAGGGAAGATTACTTCATGAGAGTTGATATGTTTTGTTGTTACTTTGGGATATGAGAGGTGGATTGGGAGATGTAATTTACAACAGATTCAATTTGTGATAATATATCTTTCGGCGTCTAAGGATATTATAGATATAAGTGTAGGTGAACAGTGTGGTTGTGAGGAGACATGTATAGAATCTTGGTCATGAACACCATTTGGATAGACTTGAGGCCTAAGTTACATTCCAATCACAATTGAAGGATTGAAAAATACATCAACTCTGATCAAGCAATAAACCACAAGATGTAGGATAGACATAGGAAAAGAGAAAAGATAATCAGCGAACAAAAGACTACTGGCACTTGAGACAGCCAGCTGCAGTCCCAAGATTTTGGAAAGGAAAGAACTTTCCTCACAGCGTATTGAGAAATTGATACATGGAGAAACGTTTCTGAGGATAAAGACAACTAATTAATCACAGTTCTGCAAAGAAATAAAGCTCAAGCAACAGAATCTCCAACATTCTTCACATCCTCCAAACATAAAGACCTACCAAACTTCAATGTCCTAGTACTAAGCGAGAAGGAGAACATCAAGGAATTTATTACAGGAAGAATATGGACATCTGATAATGAAGGGGCAGGAAGAGTACAACTACAAAAATTCATCATTTTATTAAGCAAGCAAATTTCAGGGACTTATTTCTCTTATCCATTTCCTATCAATACTTCTTGTCAACTTTTTCTCTCCTCTTTCAAACAAAACCAGTCTTTCAACTTCACATGCAAAATTACAAAATCACAAAACTCCACAACTAAAAATCCTCACACAAACATCCCATACATCACATCACACATTCAGCATTCTATATCCCCCAATTTTCAAATCCACAATCCACAATCCCAACCAACATCAACAACAACCCAGCTTCCAAAAAGTTGTAGTTCCATAAACAACCCATCCCATCCCAAACCTCTCCTTCCCAACCCCTTTTCGGAACAACAATCCCCCATCTCCGAACCCTAGCGAACCAACTACAGCTCTTCAAAACACCTGATTTCAAATCTTTCCCCTCCTTGTTGCATATCTCAAAAGTTGATTATCTTAATTCCAAACCAGAGAGTTGTTTGATTCCTTCCATTAAGTTTTAAAATAAAGTCTCGAAAAAGTTGTGAGTAAGAAAAAGTTGATTTTTTTGAGATTTTTGAGATTTGGGAATTTTAAGTTTTTGGAAAGGAGGGGGGAGAGAAGAAGAGATGGGGGTTTGAGAAAAGTTGTTGGATTCATGGGGATTGTAAGGGTTCTGTTGGAATAGTTGATTGAGTTGGGGGATAAAGGGGGTTTGGAGGGGAAAAGGAGGAGATTTTTCGGGTAAGGGATTTTCTGTGAATAGAAGTAGAAGATTATGAGAACACATTTTCATTGTTCTTTTTTATTGAGATATAGTTCAAGGCTTTTAATTTATAAATGCAATATTTAATATACTCAAAAAGTTGAATGAATATAAAAAGCTGAATATCTCACGGAATTGTCCCCTCTTCTTTTTCAATATCCCTTTCTAATTCTCATTCAACCATTACTATCTTTTAAACTAACTCCCCCCTTACCACCCTTACCACCCTTCCTCTCTCTTTCCAACAAACAACAAACAATAAACATAAAATCCTCCAAACATCACTATTATCACCATCTCAAATTCTTCCTTACCCTCCTTTATCAACCAAACCCAAACCAAACAACTTCATCATACTTCAAACCCAAACCCAAACCTCACCTCACCTCACCTAAACCACCTCTCCTACCACAACAATCACCCTCCAATAAAGACCAATATCTCCCAAATCCCCATTTTCAACATTTCACGTTCATGAATATAAGAAAGATTAGTTCAATCCATGTCACGACAGAATCACTATTAACAAAATCCACTCATACGTGTAATCCAAAAGGAGCACTCATGATAATGTTGCACTCAATTTTATCACATTATATATATCCCAAACACAACTATCGTTGCTAGAGCTCGATTCAAATGTATGACCTCGCTCTATCAAGGGAGCGAGGACTCTGAGTGTACATGCATGAATAGAGCACATGTAATCATGGAGTCAAGATAAACATAAGTAGAACATATACTAAATTATCTGTATCATTACAACTAGCTAAAAAAAAGTACCCTAATATCATGTTCACCAGCAAATCTTCATTCGCATACATAAAAAGTGGTATCGTGTCATATCATACCACTCCAGCCAATTTTCCCTATTCTAGACATACCGCAGAATAACAAAATAAAACAAATAGAACTATATCGACAGATATGTTTGATAGACAGACGGACTTCTTTTCACCCGTCTGTCTATCCAGTTTCCCACTCATACCATGTATATGCCTTCCTATCCAATCCACCCCATTCCCAGTCCCCAAATGGTATAGAGCGTTACAGTACAATATGGTATAAGCTATCCGGCATCCAACTCCAGAAATCCAGACAGTCATTAGTGAAAGCGTAATAAATCAAGCAAGCGAATCCACTTCCTCCCTCTTACTGCACATATCCCCTCTCTCCTCGCCCTCATCCTCAGCTTCATCTTCTTCCTCCTCCAAAAATCCCAATCCACTATCAAATCTTCTCCTCTTCTTCTTCTCACTAGCTCCCACTCTACCACTTGATCTTCTTCTCGCCATTGTCGCATCTAGAAACTGACCTTTCTTGACAATCGGGGCTTTGATTTGCAAATTCCTTGTGAATTCTCCAGCTTCCGTCTCACTGGACTCATTCTCACTCTCCATGTATCCCTTTGCGGAATCCCCAATGCTCGCGATTTGTTTCAACAATCCATCAACTGCTTTCTTTCCTCTTCTCTTTTCCTTGCTGACTAGTCCCTTTAATTGTTCTGCGCAGTTCTCAAGATCTTCGTTTTCGGTCTTCAAATCCGAATTTTCTTGTCGCAAGTTCTCAACCGCCTTTTGAGTGTTCTTCAGAATATATGTTGTTCTCTCCAGTTCTTCCTGAAGCTCTGCTATTCTCTCATCGCGTTCTGTTAAATCCTCGCTGATTCGTCGATCTGAGAGAAGGATTTGTCCATCTTTCTCATTGAGAAGATCCCGGAGGTTGGCAGAAGTATTCAAAGCAGCCGTTAATCTTGTCGAAAGTTCGCCTACAATCATGTTCTTTCCTTCAAGCTCCATAGCAAATGCGTTTGCCCTGAAAATTTCGTGCTGCAGTTGATCGTCTAGGTTATGAATTCCACGTTTCAAATCATCCTCGACGACTTTGTGCTCCTTTTCGATTTTCTCGACGAGATTCTCCAACCCAGAGACCTCGCTTCGGTATCCATTCAGTGCGCTTTGGAGACGTGAGTTTGAAATTTCATTTTCGGCGAGTTCTTCACTCATTCTTGAAACAGCGGTTGTAACAGCGGATAACTCCTTTTGAACATCTTGCAAGGCATCAATACGAGCGGCCAGTTGTCGTCTAAGAATGACTTCTTGTGCATGATACTGATCGATGGTTTCATCTTGTTTTCTTGCTTCCTCGACTAAGGTCTTAAGACGTCCCAGTAACATACTCAAAAGTTTGTCATTTTCAAATCCTTCGGTTTCTTCTCCAGGATTAAGATATTCGTACTCGAGTCTTGCGTTGCGGAATTGTTCGACAACAATCTTGATGGTGGCTTCCGGGTCGGTGGAGAATCCTAACGAGGTTACATCGTTTGAGAGAGCATTGAATGATGCCTCCCTTTCAAGAGCTTGAGCTTGAGCAATAGTGAGAGTTGTGAGAATCGAATCAAGTGCTGAGTCGAGTGATGAGCTATCGTGAGATTGGTCAGATGGGATGTATGACATTAACTTTTGGAAAAGACGATATTCATGATCCTTATTCAGTGCCAAAGTGGAAGTAAGACTCTTGATCTCGGATTGCAAGTGAAGAATTTGAGCCTCGAGCTTTTGATTGAGAGGATCCGGGAAGTCGGCTTGTGTCGACATTGATGCATGGGAAGGCTTTTGTGAAGATGTATCAGCTATTGTGGCAGGTGGCGACGGAGGTGAAATATTGTGCGTGTTTGTCAGGCCATCGGAAGTGGAAAAGGGACGGTCAAAAGTTCCCATCCTATGTTCGTCATATGAAGAGTCGATCACCATGCCAGTATCATCGTCATGATCTCCGGCAACGCCCATACTGATACTGTGATCATCATCGTCATCGAAATCGAATGGATCCTGTGTTCCAGTTTGCCAGTCATGTTGAGCGTTCGAGCGTTCTTCCTTTTGCGATAACTCTGCTCTTAGCTCCTGAATCTCTTTTTCCATTTCCTGAAATCTTTCCATGATAACAGGGTTTGCACGAGTAGTTGTGCCTGCCTCGAGTCCTAATTGGCTTGTAACGTCATGTTCATCCTGGATACACTGTAATTCGTAATCCTTTTCCTCCAATTCCTTCTTGAGTCGAAATATTTCCGATTTTCTTGCTTTGGCCTCATGTTTCTTCTCCCAGTCAATGTTGTTGGTCTCCTCACTCAGTCGGTTCCTTTTCATACGCCTTGTAACTCTGCCATCCAACACTTGTCGCAGTGGGGCAAATTGTAATTCTCCGGAGAATGGCTCGTTGTCCTGCCGACGATCGAGTTGTCGCTTTACAGGTGCTGAGTGTCGACGGTTTGACCTCGCAGATGAGAGAGAAGATTTTCGAAGGAATGGTGTCAAGCCGCAAGAAGATTCGTGAAGAAGGTTTGAACCTGGGTCGGAATATCTTACCTTCTTCTTGGGTTTTCTTGATCTGGGTGTTGAGGGTAAAGGTATTGATACCTCGATCATAGACGGCGTAGAAGCTCGAGAATTTGATCGTGATTGTGTCTCTGGACCAATACAACTTCTTCTTTGTCTCCGTAAAGCAATAGGTTGATCAACCTCCATAGCCATGGCTACGTCGTTCTCCGCCATACCCTCGATGTATGGGTGTTTACCTTGATCAACAATTGATATGTTTGTTATCTCACTGAAAAGCAAGGTGAATACTGTACAGTGTGTTGCGTATCTGATTAACAAAATGCTCGAAGCTTCATAGAATCCAAAACAAACACACGAAGCAAGAACTTAAAGGCAACATGGGCTGAAATAATGTTAGAGAGAATGGGTCGAGTGAATTCGGGTCTGAATATAAAATGCGAAATCAAATCAAGATGAATTTAATTGTTTACATCCTACCGTATTTGGATTAGCGTCGTAGCTACTTCCTCTAATACCCCACCGTATCAAAAATTGGTTGGATGGCAGAGGGACAACGGGGCCAAATTGTATATGGACACGACAAAAAAGCATGATACAGTACAGTATACAGCATGGTGTGTTGACTCATGAGTGGAGAGTAAAAGGGTTCAAGGTAGGATGGCTGGATGGTGGTCTTTCGAGAACTCTTCCTTAATGGTGATGTTTGGCCGTTGCTGCAGGGCTGCAGCTGGATCCACGACATTAAGAGCATGGGGTACAAGCTTTCGACGACTCCACCGAAATTTCCAGATGTGCAATGTTGAATCCTTGCACAGAGATTTTGAAGGGTACTTCGATGTTGATGATATTGACGCCGTTGATACGCATACAGAGTAGGAAGAGGACGGAAGAGAAGAAAGATTCAGAAACAAGCTTGATTTCGTTGGTGGTGGTGGTTCATTATCCGGTCGGATAAACGTCGGAACATTGACACTCGCGAGATTCTGAACAACCTGATTGAGCAGCAACGGGAGGAGTCCGTTGGTGGGATGTTGCTTCCGTCGTGTCAAACTAAGTGGTTTGGGCGTACCTCCGTTGGCGTTGGGTATTTTCCTGCAAACATGACGTACGTTTGCTAAAATTCTACTTGAGCTGAACTTCCCGCTTTGGATCAAAAACGAAATGCCTTCATTGGTGTAATTCTTCGCATCGATGAGAAGTTTCTCTCCCATAGGGCTTCCGGTACAATCATCTAATCTCTTTTGGCCACATTCACAGATCCGCTGCATATACGTGCATCAATATCCAGATTCTAAGTTCTAATCTTCTGTTATTAGACTTTGCTAGAAACGAGGGTTAAACTTCTAAATCACATGTCGAAGTTGCTTTAGAAGAGTATACAGCATTTGTCGACACTAGTGCAGTGTACTTCAGTGATGGATGCCATCTCACTTCTGTGCACAAATATGGAGACGGTAGTTGTATTATTCTTTTTACTTTTGTTTTCTCCATGTTGCTTGAGGAGGAAGTTTCTCTAAGTTCGGGATTTCACATCCTTTATTATTATTTTTCATTTAATCTAACCCCCATGATACTTGGTATACGATTGCTGCTTCACCCAGATATATCTCTCCATCACTGCAAATATAACATTGGCACATTTTTTCCTGTTGCGGAAGTATGGAATTCGAAGAGAAAATATCATGGGTCAATGAATTAGTAAATGGTATGATTTGGTGTCAGCTCAATGTTTGTCACATACTCCTCTCTGAAAATCATAGGTAAATATCACCCCAATTCTGCCCAGTTAGCTCAATTACTCACCTTGAAGATTATTCAAATCCAACTGCCTTCAAAAATCCAACAATACATTTGTTACTCAATCCTCCAAATAATTGTTTTAATCCATCAGTAGATCCGGGACAAAAGGGCGTGTTACATTGACCATCGACAATTCCTCTTCGAGTCTGCTTCGAAATCCGTGATTTTCAAAAACGTGGCGATGTCACAAGATTTACCAGCATCTAGGCTAATACCACCTACCAGTTCAGGTTAGTCAGTGAGATGAGGCTGACGGCAGATTGATTCTCTCTTATCCTGGAATAAAACTTTCAACATCAAAATCGTACTTTAAAACTTCAATGATTGAAGTTGAATAGAACGATGACGGACACTGAAATGAACGACGTCTTTTCTGACCCTTCAATGGAGCCTCATGATCTGAGTCAACTACAGTATCATATCACCTTACGCGACTTTGGTGAAAAGGTGCAAAAAGCCGCTAATGCGGCCTATCCCAATGATCAAAAGAGTAAGTAATATCCAACACTCAACATCTAATAACTCTATGTGAACTATTGACTGACTCTACGTTCAAATCTCCTGGGAAATTTCGTTAACTTGAAGTGTTGTAGTCAAATACGCCCGAGTCTATGCTCTTCTCATATTATGGGAGGACGAAGACCCGCAATTGCCCGTTTCACTAGAAGTCCACGAATTAGGTGTTGTTTTAGCTTCCATTTACAAGTACGAAGTACAAATATATCGAATACCTAGCGGCGGAAGCCACAAAAAATTGAATCAAAAGATTTTGGACTTTGGTGAACTAGGTGGAGACAATAAGGAAGACCTGAAGATTGTTTATTATGGCGGGCATGGCATGCTAGCTCAAAACCGGCAGCCTTGTTGGGTGAGGTAAGTCATCAATAAACATTTCCTACGAGACACTACTAAGCTTCAATCTGGCACATACCGGTTTTCCAAAAAATTTCATATTTGAAAATGTTTTAGTCTGTGAAAAGCTCCGGTTTCGACCAGTGTGTCCAATTGTCTGGATGACATTCAGGCAGTGAGAGTTGTTGCTTTCTTGAAACCAAACGAAGTATCGAATTGTTCTGAGACATTGTTATTATATTGGGACTTGGATTTGTTTCGTACATTGAATTAGCGCTGGAGGTTCTTCTTAAATCTGTTACTACGGGAGTGTTGGATACCCTGCTTGAGAACTTTTCTATGATTTCCTCGTTAAACTAATACTTCATGTGCCTAGTCGTTCTGATTCCCGAGACCCTAGTTTCAGCATGGTGAAATGGGGCGGGATTCAAAATTCTTTGGAAGAAGCACAATCCGACGTTCTGCTCTTACTTGACTGTTGCTCTTCGGGCACCGCTAACACAGGAGATGGGTATGGAACTACAGAGCTTATTGCTGCTTGTGGCTTCAACGATGTTGCAAATGGCGTTGGGCGCCATTCATTCACCTATGCCTTGACAACAGAATTACGCCTGTTGAGCGCATATCCAAAATTTACTGCAGCGGTTCTGTACAATAGAATACTCTGCAGACTACAAAACTGGATGCCTGAAGGCAGAGAATTACAGAAAGCTCCACTTCATGTTGTTCTTACGCAAAATCAAGCTTTGCCATCCAGCATACAACTTTCAGTAAGCCCAAGGCCAAAGCCGGAGCCAATGTCTTTCCGGAGTCCTTCGCAATCACTGGGTTCGCCAAGTCCCGCTTCATTCGAGAGCAATGAAAGGACAGACTCTGACCAAGATTCTAATTTATCGCCGGTGTCAAGCCTCCTTTCTGCCGATGAGCAATTTCCGAGGATCTTACTAAGTGTGAGACTCAAAGAAGATCTGGCTCCAGAATTATCTGCCGATCTCTTTGCTGAATGGCTTCGCATGATGCCCGTTATTGCCAACTCTATTACCGTTGAAGCTGGATTCAGTAGTTTTTCAACAGTAATCTTGGTTTCCATGCCAACACCAGTATGGGTCTGCCTTGGAAGAGATCCGGCCTTTAATCTTGTGGGTATCATTAAGAAGAAGCCAAACATAAAACCAGTTTCTTCCCCAAGTCTTTCAACACTTGAAGTTGCTGAAAGCGGCAATTATCAGTCATTGAAGACAAAACAACAACCACCAGCCCGTATGAACAACGAATTGCGTCTTCCAGCCTACACAAAGCAAAACTCAATGCAAATACCATCTTCTTCCGACCGTGGCTTCGATCCCTACCCGTCTAGTTCGTCATATCATTATTCTACCGCTTCTGCTAAACCTTACACTCCTAGCCAAGACCCTTCAAAAAGTTCATCGAAAATGAGCATAGAAAGAGCAAAATATCGAGCCAAGAAGGAATTTGAACAGATTCTTGCATCTGCAATTGATGAAAGACCTATCGAGAAATCTAGGAGAGATGATCAGCTCACATAGATAATTGGGTTGCGAATTCTCATAACTTATCTTTCAAGAGTACAGATACCTTCGCGGATAGGCTTTCAACTATGGATGATGAAACTCGAGGATCCAGATGGGCAAATCTGCACAAAAACCTGGTAGCCACGCCCCCAGCTCCTCTCACTGAATCTTCCGTCAATGATACTGCCCCCAACCTTGAATTTGATTGCCACTATATTGGCTGTGGTAGGTTTTTTGTACGCCAAGATAAACTTAATGATCATATGAAGAGACACGGAGCTCCACTTGAAAGTACGCTGGAACCATTAGGAATTTATTCGAATAAAGAAGAGTTTATGAAGCATCTGCAAATAGACCATGAAACATTTGCACTGATGGAAGCAAGATTCCTTGCTCGGCCATTTACAAAGTGACCCAACTGGATCGCACAGTGGTTTCTTTGCCGCAGAATCTTGAAAATATTGCAAAGGAACAGGAATGTGGATGATACAAATAACACCCCCTTGCCCGGTGTTTCCTCGCGATACTCTCGCTCGCAACCCTCACTATATCCGACCGATGTGAATAATCAAGGCTCGGATCCCCCACACTATACAAACGATATGAATTACCTTCGCACGTATCCCGAGACATGTGAGACCGGTACGAATAGTGATTATAGGGAGGGTACGAATCAGGATTATAAGGCCAATACGAATCAGGATTATATGGGCAGTACAAAAAGCAGGCCTAACCCGAAACACCATTGAAGAGTCGTGGGTGATGCTTAGAACTTTAACGGATCAACTACAAATGACTTTACCCATTTCATAACGACAAGCAAAGATGAGAGAGAAAGTTCCGGGATATGAGAACCAACACAACATAACCATAGGGCTTGTATTTTGGATTTCTAGTGGTGCATCAGAAGCCCGGGCAGTCCTATGTTCACGTACCTATACTATCCAGTAACTAAGTACGAACTGTCATTTAGGAGCCTTAGGAGGTTCATCTATACGAATTTATAATTAGAACTGAGTACTTACAACACAGACGAACTTATTCGTAAGGACCTCAGGCTTTCGATCATAGATTCTTGGATGCTACCAGCAATTAGTTCTGAAATTGAATTTAGTGGGGACTAATTGAAGAACAATCTAATACAGAAGCTTCAGAAAACTAATGGGTGACGCAAGAACATGCTAGTTGATAAAGAGGAATCAATCTCGGAAGCGAAATAGGGGCAGGAGCGCTAAATTCATAAAAAATTGGCGAGACACTAACCACTGGATCTCGGATTTTTGTATCATTCAACAATGTCGTAGCACTGTCCTACAGATATTATATAGAATCGGAGTAATTACTATAAGATATCAAGTTATTGCCATAAGCATTAAATGATTGACGGGATGGTATGTCCAGCCTTTTTGAGGAACAGAGAGAATGCTGGCAAAATTGACATCTGGATTCTGGAAAAACATTTCAACGTCCTCTTGAGGCTTTAAAGATGAGCATGAATTGCATGGATTAATATGATCTAGGCGAAGTACCTGAGATTCATCTAAAACCAGCCTCCCATTAATCATACTTATACGGAAAAATAGTCTTCTATGGATAACCCACCCCCACTTTCCCCATAAAGATTCACCCCACCTCCTCGAAATCAGGCTGAAGACACATTTACCCCTCCTTCCTCATATGACCTCACTAATTTTCTTCTCGTCAAGGAAATCTCTATTTACATCATCTTGAATTTTTCACCCTCATCTAAAGCCTCCATCCTTCAACTATCAAAACGAAAATATCAAAATGCCTCTCGAAGCAGATTTCGAATTTCTCCCTTTGGGAGCCATCATCCAAAGCTTCCTCGTCCCCACAAAAGACAAATCGGTGAATATTGTCCAATCATTTCCAACCGCAGAGCTATATCAAAAATACAACCAGCCGTTTTTTGGTGAAACGATCGGAAGAGTCGCGAATCGAATCGCTAATGCGAAAATCAATTCTTTGAATGGAAAATCTTATACTCTTGCGCAGAATAATGGAGTGAATGCTTTACATGGTGGTGTAAAGGGATGGGGTAAACGTGTTTGGGAAGGCCCGAAGTTGGTGGGTTTGAGAGAGATTCCGGGAGTGGAGGGATTGGAGGGGGGTGAGAGTGTGCAGTTTACGTTGAGGGATGAGGATGGTGAGGAAGGTTATCCCGGAACGTTGGATGTTAGTGTGGTTTATACTACTGGAAAACAAAAGGTCGATGGTAAGGAAGTCAGAGTGTTGGGTATGGAATATGAGGTCAAGTTGGTGGATGATGGAAAGGGAGTTGAAGAGACAGTCGTCAATGTCACCAATCATTCGTGAGTAGTCTTTATTTAAATCCGACTATTCTTAGCTTCTCGGGAGAGAGATAATTGATGTCATAACAGGTATTTCAACCTTACTGGCAAATCGACAATTGAAGGTACACAAGTCACATTATGTACCAACGACTACCTACCAGTCGACGATGGAGGTATTCCTACTTCTGGACCAAAGCCATATGAGAGCATTACAGCTAATAAGGAATTTACATTGGGACCTGAGGAACCAAATGTTGATGATTGTTTCATCGTGGATGCAAAATCCGAATCTACTCCCCTCGATACGCGATCTTCGCCTCTCGCGACATTAGTCAAGGCTTCTCACCCAGAAACTGGTATCCATCTGGAAGTCTTGAGTACCGAACCTGCATTCCAATTCTATACTGGAAAATACATCGACGTACCAGCAGTTGAGGGACTTGAGGCTAGAGGAGCTAGAAGTGGATTCTGTGTCGAGCCAAGTCGATACGTTAATGCAATTAACGAGGCGAAATGGAGAGGACAAGTATTGCTCAAGAAGGGACAAGTTTATGGAAGTAGGGTTGTTTATAAGGGATGGTCCGAAGTTTAAACAGTGGAACGGATGCGCTCGATATCATTGGGAGGATTTTTTGAAGCAACATTGCACGGCCAAAAGTTAGTAGTTGACTCGTTCCTGACTTGAGTGTTCATTAGCAAAATACCATAGCATTTAATGATTCCATCCCGAGTCAGATCTAGCGGCATGCATGACATGTGAAGAATCCGGTGAAACTTAGTACTTTATCTGAGAGTTCTTCGTTTGCACTTATCCGAGTTCATTTGAATGAATTGAATCTCAAAAAGTACCGAGAACAGTCACGTGTGTTCTATTTTCGGTGTTAGCGAGTATACCTCGGCATCCGGCTACCAGCGCTAAGTGCAACCGGTAGGATTTCACATGTCAAATGCGATGTATTGACCAATCATATAATGGGAAATCGTAAGACAGAGTGCACATGAGGTGTTTCCGGAAGGCAGGTGATAGGATTTACTTGTAGAAGATGGAGAAAATCCGGGGTGGAGAGAGTTTAAATGCAATATTAAATTGGTATGGTAACGGAAGACGGGGTGGAGTGCAGCTGAATCAAGAATTGCATGCGATGTCTGTTTGAAGTGAGAGTGAGTGACATGTGAAAGAGAAAGTTGCTTGTCAAACAAAAGCGAGTAGCATCTCCGAATAATTAATAAAACATCTCAAACCTCACCTACTTTATTCCTCTCCACTTACTTTCTTGTTCTTATTTATTATTTACATTCGATACTTCTACATCGCAAGACTCACATTAACAAATTATACAACACGAACCAACACATATAGAAAAATGTCGAAGACTTTCAGTCAGAGTGATGTTGCATCGCACAATAAGCCCGATGATCTCTTCATTGTCGTAGATGAAGATGTCTATGATCTCACCAAATTCCAAGACGACCATCCAGGTGGCAAAAAGATTCTTACAAGAGTTGCCGGAAAAGATGCTTCGAAACAATTCTGGAAATACCATAATGAGGGTATTCTCAAGAAATACAAGGCAAAGCTACAGGTGGGATCATTAGACACAAAGAAAGCCGCTGCACCACCAACACCACCTGCGACTCCTCCACCAGCAAAAGAAGCAGTCAAGCCACAGGCGGAGAGCGGTGCTGTGGTGCCAGCTCCAACAGCCGCTGCAAAGCAGGTTGAGGAGGAATCGGAACCGTTGGATCCGTATGGTGATTTGATTCCGTTTGCGGATCCATCGTGGTATCAGGGTGTAAGTTTTTTCCACTCGCGCAAATCTGCGAATGATGCTAATGTGATAATAGTACCACTCACCATATTTCAATGAGACACATGCTGCTCTCCGCGAAGAAATCCGCGAATGGGTATCGGCCGAAATCGAACCAAATGTCGGTGAATGGGACGAGGCACGAAAAGTCCCAGATGAAATATACAAACAAATGGGAACTCGAGGATATCTGGCTGGATTGATGGGTATGCACTATCCAACTCAATACACAGAGAATAGAATCAAGAGTGTTGCACCTGAGAAATGGGACTTGTTCCATGAAATGCTTCTCACAGATGAATTGTCGCGTGCGGCAAGTGGTGGATTTGTGTGGAATGTTATCGGAGGATTTGGAATTGGTTGTCCGCCTTTGGTTAAATTTGGAAAGAAGCCTTTGGTCGAGAGAATTCTACCGGGGATCTTGAACGGTGACAAGAGAATTTGTTTGGCTATCACGGAGCCAGATGCTGGTTCTGATGTTGCGAATTTGACTTGTGAGGCCAAGTTGACTGAAGATGGAAAACATTATATCGTCAATGGTGAAAAGAAATGGATCACTAATGGTATTTGGTGTGATTATTTCACAACTGCAGTTAGAACCGGAAAGGATGGTATGAATGGTGTCAGTGTTCTTCTCATCGAGAGATCGGCTGGTGGTGTCAGCACGAGAAAGATGGATTGTCAAGGTGTTTGGTCTAGTGGAACTACATATATCACATTTGAGGATGTGAAGGTTCCAGTTGAAAATCTTATCGGAAAGGAGAACCAAGGATTCAAAGGTAATTCTCATCGTGATCCTGTCTTTGAAACCCCGCTAACAATATCATAGTCATCATGACCAACTTCAATCATGAGAGAATTGGTATCATCATCCAATGTCTCCGTTTCTCCCGTGTCTGCTATGAGGAAAGTGTAAAGTACGCACATAAGCGTCGCACATTTGGCAAGAAACTCATTGACCACCCTGTCATTCGTCTCAAGCTCGCTCATATGGCGCGTCAAATTGAAGCCTCATATTCTTGGCTCGAATCTCTCATTTTCCAATGCTCAAAGATGGGAGAGACAGAAGCTATGTTGAGACTTGGTGGGCCAATCGCAGGTCTCAAGGCTCAAGCTACTGTTACCTTTGAATTCTGTGCCAGAGAGGCAAGTCAAATCTTTGGAGGTTTGAGTTATAGTCGTGGTGGACAAGGTGGAAAGGTAGAGAGGCTTTACAGAGACGTAAGAGCTTATGCTATTCCCGGAGGAAGTGAGGAGATCATGTTGGATCTGAGTATCAGACAGAGTTTG